TCTTAATTTTCTGATTTGCATAATTAGTTTTCAGCTAAGTAATTTCGAATTATATTTAATGTGTCTCCAATACTCTCAGCACATGGGAGTTCTTTCTAAGCTTTCTTTGATTGCTGGAGGGATGAATCAGTGGAAAAAAAGTGAAAATATCCATATTTTACATTAAACTCGTAGAAAAATGTCTTTTCAGTGAAGAAAATAAGGTATTTTACAGTACATGTTTTACATAACACGTACTCAGTATTTTGGGCATCATGCAGTCAGAAAAATTCCAATAATAATGTCATTTATAGACAGGTGGTCTTTAAATGGGGGTTGTTTATTTAATCCATAAATAAAAAAATACACTAATTTCTCAGTTTAAGGGACAATTTGTCAACAGATATTTGAAGATGGATAATAAATATAAATATTTTGTCTGTCTTGAATTGATTGCAAAATTTCATGCAGACTGATGTAAAAAATAAATAGGAATCTTCCAATATTTTCTTTTTATTTGTCTGACCAAACCAGTGCAAAAGGCAGTCACTGGCGAGTCAGAGATGACTTTTATTTACAGGTCACTTTACATGTAAATTGCTTTGGTCTTTTTTATAAAAGGTAGTCACTAACGCAGGTTTGTTTGTATGTGATTTTATCCTTTAGTTCTATATGGACACTGCAGAAGCTGCTACCTGAAGGAAAGAGAATAGAGTATCGCTATGCAATCTGTAGTCTACATATACTCTCTGATGCTGAAAAAGATGTATGTGTGCATCAATGGGAAATACACTGTACTCCGAGAAACTTTGTACCTAAGGGTAAGTTGATAGAATGGAATGCAATTGTGTTATATGTTATCATGAACTACATGTATTATTGTTGAATAAAAATCATCTCAGTTCTTGGGGAACATTTATCCTACTATGTCGTATTTATGAATTGTTTTGGTATTTCAGTGAGTGGTATAATTATCGTTGTTAAAATAACCTAGCCTCTTAGCGAAAAAATGACCAAGTGTGTCTGCACTCCATCACAGATAATCAGCCAATCCACTGATGATCTGCGCCTCATTCTTGTCATCAGTACAGACAGCAAGTCTCGACCAAGTTTTTTTTGTGCCAATTCGATTCAGCTCGCTCACACACACACGTTTTGGCACTTGCCAACTGATCATGACCACTTATAATATCTATGTGTTTATTGCAGGTTCCGAATATTTTGAAGACGGCGGAGAATTCGGTGTTTATAGTAAGTTGATACAATGTAACATCTGTTTTGGTGAGACTTTTTAAGTACAATCACACTAAACCGTTTATGCCAACTTCTTGACAGGTCATTCATATCAACACATGCAGTTTCTAATAAAGAAAATAAGATATCGGGGTATTCATGTTTCTGATCATCTTTTTTGTCAAAATTTTAGAAAAATTTAGCTGTTGGAGAACATACACTAATGCAATCATCTGTAATTTTTCACTTAGATGGTGAGGAAAAAATAAATAGAGGTTGGCTAACACGACAAAGTGAGGTTCTTCTGTACTTCCATGAGGCCAGGGGAACAGATATGATCACTGTATTCCATCCACACTCAGATGAGGTGGAAGAAAACCAACCAACAGAACAGAATGATGTCTACTATAGCTTCAAAGTCTCAGCCAAAACAGTCCAAAAATCATACGAGAAACAGCGGAAAAAGAGACGTCCTCAACAAAGTTCACCGGTTTCACCAGGAAATAGCTCCTATCAATCGCCCGTTAAAGAGTCTGGTAGATCTCAATCTACCAAGAAGAGTATCCCTGTCAGTGTCCAGGCACTGAATAAGTATGAATACAGGCGTGCTGAACAAGGTGAATTTGGACACATGTTTGAGGATGATAATGACTATTTAGTTTTCTCCACACAAACGTATTATCCAGAATCTCTGGTAAGTACACTTGATTGCATAGATTACTTCATGTATTTAGGTACAGGTCAACTTGTGAATGGTGGTGATGGGAAAATTTGTTACTGGTGCATATCTGATTCCCTCATGTCAGACTCTATGGCATGTTTGTGATCTAGTCACCATACCTCAACTACTGATAAAGAAATTTAAGACATGTTAGCTACGTTCACATTACAAGATAACGTGACAACTATTTTTAATCCCTTTTATTAAACCCTGTGTGCATGTTAATCAGGACCCACTTCAGGACCCACTCAGCTTGTGTCGAAATCATACCCATTGAGCTGAGCTGTCATGATGAAAAAAAATCTCATCTTACTATGGCATCCATTTATATCTTTCTCAACAAGCTAGCTTCACTCTATGGCCATGTCATATGAATCAGTATATGCTCATCGCTGAGGGTGTGATTTTGTGTTCAGGCAACTAATCTTGGCACATGCTGAGTTTCGATCCTGACTCCCCCAGTGGGACTGAGATCATGCACCAAGATCCGTAACGTAAACGCTATACTTGTTATCATGTCTTGTACAACATGTGCTATCTTAATGCAGTGTGACTTTATACCTGATGTATTTAATGGCTCTGAGCGTGAAATCACAAACTAATTATAGATTTTTTTTTTCCTTGTTACTATATGTAGAACTACAATTAATCATTGGGGTTTGGTATAGTAAACAGTGAAAATTGTCTTTTGTGTTTTTTTAGAAAAATTGAGTTCCCATAGAAATTATTCATTTTAAATTTTTTTCTGAAAACTTAGATTTTAAGAATAATGTGAAAACAAAATTGTGCCAGTTTGTTGGCCACAAAAGATACAGATTTTACTGCATAAAAAATACAAAATGTATTTACTGACTGAATTTTCTTCAAATCATGCCTGAACCCGATTTGCTTAAAGGGGAACCGATACTATAAATATGGGCAAGATGGCCACTGCAATTAGTATGCTCATCAAAACCAAGCCGCTCACATCATAGTGGAAGCTCAGAGAAATGTGCCATGTACGATGTTTAGAGATCAAGCTGTGATTCCAAATACATTTCCACAGGGGCACGAATATGTACCCTAGCGATTACACTCATCTGGTTGGGCTTTTTATATATATATATGTTGTTGTTTTCGGTTGAAACGTGCAGCGACAAGTAAAAACATTTATTTACTTAATAGTGGACAGAGGCAGAGTTAATTACCCTTGAGCATGTGGTGCAATTCATGGGATTGAGCGGTTCCCCTTTAATCATTTGGTTACTTACACTGATAACTGGAATTAAAAATGCCATTGGTTGACGGTATATGTAGCAACAAGGAAATGAGTTAAAATTCAGACATTCTCTAAAAGTTACTAAGCATGCTACTTTAATAACCTATACATCATCTGAAAGCCTTGATATAGTTGAATGCAATAGTACGTACGCTGTACCAATGTTTGTCTAATTTATTGCCAGTAGCATGGCTATGATTATTTGGTCGTAGCTAGAAAACAAAGGCAAATAAAGAAAAACTAAGAGGCAATTGCCCTATCCCACAGTTTTGGGGACTGAAAGTGTTAAAAAAACATGATGTTTTGAATAGTCAGGATGGTCAAAATTTGTACGTCATATTTACTACATCACTGTGTTTGCCTATATCTAAGTTTTCAGATGATGTACAGGCTGTTATACCGGTAGTAACTTTTAAAGAATATCTGATCACAGATTAAATTTTAAAATGTTTTACCCCTGTTGCTACAATGTACCTTGGCACATCATCTGCTGAAAGCCATCACAAATACCAGTTTATAAAAGGCTCCAGCATGTGATGTGTTTAATAGTATAGACAACTAGAATGCACTGATTTACCTGGTTGTACTGGAGTCAAAACAACTAACGTTTCATCATACATGCACTTTTTATTGCACTTCTAACAAGTGTAAATATGGTGTGTAATTTGCACTGCTCAACAGAAGGCCATGCAATTGTAAAAAAAATAATTGTCTTGGCCACTAATGTGCCCTGTATGTTTAATGCTAGTTTTAATATATTCCCTTTTTTGCAAGTAAGCCTATGTTCCACGCATTTTGGAACGCGCGTTGTGTTAACTTGTGTAACTTGTTTCATTCATTAGGCATTTACCATTGAAGTTTTTGAGTATCACACAAATGAAGCCACGCCGTCATCCTCTTCCTTCTCAACATCTCCAGAATATCTCGGCGTGGCTCATCTTCTACCTCGCAATTTCAAATCTACATCTGGTTATGCTCATGTGTCTATTCATGGTAAAGATCAGCAACCAGTCGGTGAACTAACGGGTATGTGTATCAGCAGAGAAGGTACCCTGTTAAAGAATCGCAGACAATACAAAAAAAGTCACACAAGTAGACAAATGTATTGCTGTTCTTGCGTTCCATTAATCGTATGAGGTTGTTAAAATACAGTCACCGTACTGCTTGAGAACTGATGTGCCGAAATGGGGGGCATGTATGTCTGGCCATCCTTGGCCATATATTGGTGTAGTTTGAGAATTTTTTTCGGTCCAAAACAGTCCTTTTTGGTAAAAAATAAAGGCTCAAGATGTATGCTGCATTATAACATGTTGACTGTTTTTTTTCTGGAATTCACAACAGAGGTATCTCAAAAAAGCCTTCAAGTGCACATCAATTTATTTTTGGTTCTGTCCATGTTAGGTATAGGTTTAGGGTCCAAAAGTCTAATTTTTGGTTAAAACAAAGTTATAAATATGTGCTGCATCACAACTGTGATCAAATTAAGAAAATGTAGATATGCATGTTTTGTATGATTTTTTGAATTTCTCTGAAAATAGTGTGGAATTTATGTTTTTACGCTTTTTCATTCAAACTTTATATATATTTAATACACAATACATTACATGTACAATCTCTCAATCAAAGTGTATACATGTAAAAAGTTTCTTTTATTGGTCCAAAAAATTGCACTCTTTGACCGAACCAATACTTTACACGCACACCTCAAAACAAATTGACAAACATTTGTACGCTTTAGGGACAACATCAAAAGTTCAATGTAAGATAGAAAACTTAATTCCTTTAGTTTTTTAGCTCCGCTGTCGACTTTGTCGAGCGAAGCTTATCATATGAGTGATTGTCCGTCGTCGTCCGTGTCAATGTTTTACTTTTTCGACTTCTTCTTGAAAACTACAAGCCAGAATGCTTTGATACTTGGTGTATATGTACCTTGGGTAGTCCTCTCTCAGATTTGTTCATTTTGCGATGATATCTTCAATTCTCTAATTTTGGTGAATATTTTTGTCATTTTTGGTAGAAAGTGATATTTTCGACTTCTTGTTAAAAACTGTAAGTCCGATTGCTTTGATACTGTACATATTGTTCATTTTCTAATGATGTCTTCAGTTCTTTAATTGAAATGTGCATTGCTAACAGCGGAGCTATCTCAGCCGATAGGCTGCTTGTTTGACCCCATAATCATACTCTGTAAAATAGGGTCACCAGGTGGTGGGTTACCAATCCATAAACGAAATTTAAAAGTTTATGCGACTGCTTTGTTATTGACTTGATTACTTTTGATACTCCTCTTCTGGCTTGCTGTTACAATTTAGGGATAAGTCTGAAAATTTTTAAAAAAAAGCATTATAAATTTCCATCTGCGCGATCATTTGCATTCAATATCATGATTCTGTTTCTGTGAAACGTTATATAATTTTGATGTAACCAAAGAAAAATGAGACTTAAATGCAAAATTCAGAATGCTATAACCACTATTGGTAAAATGTACAAGACTAGATCAAGACAGTTTGGTAAGATATTATTTGCCATAGTATCAGTCAGAATGTTTTTTACATTTAAAAATCTAAATTCTGCTTTATTTGTGAGAATATAAATTTTAATCAATTCATTGACAAGATTTAAAATTCTCATCATTTGATTGGTGAGAATCCATATTATCATTAAAGTGGAGGATTCGTCACCTACGCATGCGTCAGATGGCCAAAGTGTGTCATTGTTTACAAACAAGCGTCTACCCATGAGCTTTTAAATTTTTAGCTTGTGTTGTTATCGTCGCATGGGACTTAAATCCCCACGCATGCGCAGGTGTCACTCTCTCGCTTTAATTTATTGGCGAGTCTTAAATTCTCACCATTTGTTTGACACATTGTTGAACGTTTGTATTTTTGCCATGGAAACAGTGCAAATTTGTATTCTCCTCATTGAACCATAATATCACACTGATACTGCTGAAAATAATATTGAGTTTTGCAGAACTAGTGTCATCTTTCTCTTTCTAGTCTTGAAATTTTAATAAATAGTGAACACATTCTTAATCATTTGTTCTGAACACGCCTGCACAGGTTTGTAGCGACTACCAATTTCCATTGCCACTGAAAACTGAGTCTATTAGTGCAGTCTGAATCCAAATCGAAATCTACCTCAACACATTTCTCAAAATGATGGTTTCAGTGCACATCCATGTACATTTTTGTATTTATTGGTGTTTTATATGTGTTCAATGGCAAAGCCTCAGTTTTAGTAAATATTTTTAATGAAATATGCGTAATGGAACCTGGTGGAAACAAGGATTGTAGAGTATTTATTTCTAAATACAAAAAAATCATTTCAAAGTTCTCTATTATATATGTTGATATATACATTTTTTGTAAAAAGTGTGAAATACTGTCGCTGTTTCAGGAAACTCAGTATTGACTTATATAAGACACGGAGTACAGGTACTTTCTGTATATGTGCGAGTCTTTGGACTAGGTCAAACCAAATCTTTTTGTCTCGTTTCTATATCTCATCTGCTTTTTGTCATTTTAATTTCACATGACAGGTATCATATATCAACCACCTTTGTACACTGTGACCTTAACTCAGAAAATCATGATTTTGAAGAGATGGGCGGTTACCTGAGTACCCCCTCTATGTGACATGTTTAGAAGTATATATTGCTTGTTTTGAAACAATTTGCATTGTCATTGATTTCCACAACATTTTTACAATGATTTAACAAAAATTTTCACACACAAAATTTATACATTTTATTATAGTATTATTTACCTATCATCAAAATTTACAAGAATAAAATTATTTGATCGAAAACAACTAGGGGACCCTGAACATAAAAATTCTGCAAAAGTAGGAGTAGACATTTGACTTGGACAGTCACTAATACAATCATGTGCAGTATTCATTGTTGGAATGCACAATCAGGTTGTTTTTTTTGAAAACTGAGTGCTAACAGAGTCTGTGTTTTTTTTCTGTTTTCTTCACAGTTCAGTATCTGGTTGTACGCTGTCTTGATACTGATCAGAGCAATATGCAAGTCAGTTATGCAAAGCACTGGAAAAAGAGACGTCCTTTGAATGTTGGTCATCGTGGGAGTGGCATATCACATGATTCCAGCTTAGCAGAGTAAGTATGATGTTAGTTCCCAATTTTGATTGAGGCTGGAATTCAGGACTTGTTATAGATTTTTATATTTGTCAAGTTTATCTGTTTCGATCTTGCATTTAACTCGATGCTTTCCAACGATGCTGAGAACCATAGTGTGAAATATATTTTCTATCAGGATCAAACTCAAAGCGTGCACTGCTTATTTGGTGATGTTTGCTGAGAAAATTGCTGCTGTATGTTCTGGTGTTACAACATTGAAAACTATTAATTCACACACCCTAATATCTAATTATTAAATGTATCTTTTGAATATGTAATGCTCCAAAAAAAGTTTAAAATTGTATCTTTTTAGTTCACTCTCTTTATGCATGTTATTGCATGGAATTCAGTATTATCAGAGAAATATAAAAATAACATATTGCAAAACTTTACAAACACGCATGTAAACTCCTGTTGAGATAGAGTGCTACACAGAAGTAAAAATATTATGACAGTTATTTCTTCATTTCATGTCATAAGGATAAAAGAAAAAGAAATAAAAATGTGGGGTCTTCGTACTCTGATCAGAGAAAATCGATGTACAAAATGGAGTGAAAATAAAATTTTGTTTTGTTTTAGGGCATTTTACTATGATTGTTTCGTATGGCTCGGACATACATGTATCTTAATATCTCAAAAATTAGTTTTCAATGTGGTTTATGGAAACCGCTGCTAAAATGGCATTTTTTGCATATTATTTAACAATTTTTATCAAAAATCAGATTAACAGTGAACCAAAATACATGTACTGTGAACTAATACCAAAAAGAATAATTGTAGACAGATTTTGAAACAAAATATTGCTACCGCCATATGCGCTAATGTAAAAAAATAGGTGGGAGGAGAAATAGTTTTGTTCTGATAAAATGCTGTTGTGTATATAAATATATATACCTGTGTGACGGATGAAAAATCTGTAACACAAATCTGTTGATTTAACAGGTTCCCTGCTCTGCATTTAGCACCGGTAAAAGAGAATACCATAGCTTCTTTTCAGTCTGCTGCATCTTGTGTAAGTACTCTACGTTTGATACTTCACTTGTCACCATATTGGTGCCAATTGTAAAGGATACTTCAAAATTGTAATCAAATTTGCTCTATTAATAGTACCGTAAAATCTGTATTAGAAGCGGTACCTCTAAAATACTGTAAAATACTTTATTTTCGTCTGGAATCAATTTTCGCTATTTTCGCTGCAGGAATGACTCAGTGAAAATAAAATCCAGCAAATATACCCTTTTTCCTATATTTTACATTCAACTCGTCAAAAATCAGTGAAAATAAATTCCATACAAAACACCTAAAATGTCTTTTCAGCGAAAATTAATTCCAGCTAAAATAAAGTATTCTACAGTAAGTCGCACCCATTCTTTTTGAATAATTGAGAACCAAACATTTCTCATATGTGTAGATGCTCTAATAGAAGCCGTATCCCCACTGTTGCATTGTACCATTTTAATATAAGCCGCAGCTTCTAATGCAGATTTTACAGTATATACACTCATGTACTTTGAAAAAGGGTTTGTATGGTCGCAGTGGGTAACAATTTAATGATTTGGTATACAACAAATGCGATATTCAGTTTATATGTGCATCTATTGCAGATGCACTTCTAATAGAGTCAATACGGTAAAGGATTTTATTAATTTCTATAAATTTCGCAATAGCTCAGTTTTTTTGCTATTTTGATGCATCAAGGGCTTTCAATAAGGTAAATCTTTGAATCTTTTTTTCCCCGAAAGCTTCTAAAGGGGAATATACTTATTTTTATAGCTAGTGCTGGTTGTCTGGTATAGAAATAAATTATTTTCTGTGGTGGATTAACATTTTGAACAGCCACCACCATTATTGACGATTCACTCCGCTAGGATTGCCCTCATAATCACTTTTGTTGGCGATCCTCTCCACTAGGATTGCCCTTATACAACGTGTAATCACTTCTGTGGCGCTGTGTGTGTGATTTTCAGTGTTTTCACGTATTATTACTTCTATGATTTTTTTGGCTTGGCCGATTTTGCTCAAACTTGGCAGAAAAGTCACACCTTCACTCTAGTTAGGTTAAAAAATCTGGAAACAAATTTTGGCCCATTGTTTCCATGGCAACAGCCAAAAAACTGATTTTTAGCTCCGCTGTCGACTTTGAGTGATTGTCCGTCGTCGTCCGTGTCAATGTTTTACTTTTTCGACTTCTTCTTGAAAACTACAAGCCTGAATGCTTTGATATTTACTGTATATGTACCTTGGGTAGACCTCTCTTAGATTTGTTCATTTCATGATGATATCTTCAATTCTCTAATTTTGGTGAATATTTTTGGTAAAAAATGATATTTTCAACTTCTTGTTAAAAACCGCAAGTGCAATTGCTTTAATATTACATATACAGGTACTACATGTGGACCTCTCTCAGATTTGTTCATTTTGTAATGATATCTTCAATTCTCTAATTTTGGTGAATATTTTGGTTATAAAGTGATATTTTTGACTTCTTGTTGAAAACCGCAAGTCCAATTGCTTTGTTATTACATGTATAGTTACTACATGTGGTTCTAACTCAGATTTGTTCATTTCATGATGATATCTTAAATTCTCTAATTTTGATGAATATTTTTGTAATTTTTGGTAAAAGGTGATATTTCCCACTTCTTGTTGAAAACCGAAAGTCTGAATGTTTAGATACTATACATTTTGTTCATTTTCTAATGATATCTTCTGTTCTTTATTTGAAATGTGCATTGCTATAACAGCAGAGCTATCTCAGCCGAGAGGCTGCTTGTGTTATAAACCGACAAAAGCTTTCACGTTCATGTTCTACCATGACAGCAGCCAAAAACATGTTGCTTGCTTTTTGAGCCGAGCAGATCGCCAACCAGCCTACCTGCTTGTATTCAGTATGTGTGTGGATGGGTTGCGTTGCGTGATTAGGCAAGTTGGTTATTTGGACAGTCAGTGCATGAACCACCTATTATATGCACACGTCTAAAAAACGCTGATGTTAATACTGTTGTTTTGTTGTGCAAATATTAGCTAATCTGCTGAATTGTCTGCTCGCGTTCTCACTTAGTAAAAACACCGGTGTTTTGTGCCCTCAATGAATCATATCACAGAAAGGTCAATAAACGAATGGAAATGTCAGTCAACAAAGTGGTGTCCCCGCTGGTAAATGCGTTTGCTTTGTTCCTGTTTTCCCGTGTGTTTTAAGCTAGAGATTTTGTTAGGTCGAACATGACCAAGAAATGATCGGTTCATGTTCATGCTGTATGAATAGCGTAACAATATACCCAGCATCCCGAGCGATTGGATTTGACAACAAGGAAATTACTGGTGTGACACACGGCACATTGCGTTGTGCAAGAGCCAGTGTGACAATGGCGTTTAGGATCTGGTCCACCCCTTTTATGTCGGTGTCAAAAACGCAGACAGCGTATTCTGTTCATACACACATTTTAACAACCTACTCAAATAAA